TATAAATCCCATCTCAAGCCTTTTTTTCTTTCCCTCTTTCTATAACAAAAAAAAAACACTGATGATGAAGAAATTAAGAAACTATTATTAGGTATTTTTTTCTGCTGAAGTGATAAAAAAAAAGTACTGATGTACTCAACCCCTTAAAACGATTTACGTTTAATGGCCATCTGTCTTTTGCATCCAGCAGGGAATGTGTGTGTGATTGTGTGACAGAATCCATCTATTTAGTATCTGTGTATAACATAGACTGTAAGCTGAGTGTGTTTTGTCACTATGCGATTCAATTCAGTTCATCAGCTGACCAATGAACTGCAACAGCAGAATCCATCTTCTAAAGAAGAGAAAAACATTGAAGGAGGCTTTATGTAAAAGAGATGATACAGAGCTGAGAGGAAAACATGAGAAGATGAGGGAAATAAAAACTTAACCCGACCAGTTGTAACGTTAGACATTATTCGGTGAACATTTACTTCAACTGTGAAACAAAGATTGTAAAAATACTGTAGGCTATTTAGTTTATATGAATTTAAATAAACTGTTGTCACATGGGTGTCGCCATTTTATTAACGCCGCAAACAAATTATACTGAGTAAATTATGACATTCACTAGGTCCTCCGCAGGTGCAAGGCTTTGTTTTCCCTCTGGTGCAAAGCTGAGAGCTCTATCCACCCTGAAGGTTAATCCCTTGACTAATCTTAAATGGCAATATAGTGTTAGTTATATATGTCACATGTAGCCAATGCTACCTATATCACCATACTGTACGTTTAAATATTAGTTTGGGTGCTAACGCTATATCGTCCTATATATGCATTTAGCTCAAGCACAAATGCTATCACCCTAGCTCAGGCGCTAATGCTATATTGCCTGATGTATGTATTAGCTTGGGCGCTAACACTAAAACTAACATACTAAGCTGAAGTTTTCCTTCCATTAAGCAGCTCTGTTGTCCTCCATCCACATTTTCAGTTGCAGTCTGAGTCATTTCTACATTCTCCAGGTTAAGGCACTCTAATTTCATTAAAAGGGCTGATAGTCAGTCATTGTCCATGTGACAATATATTTTTTTAATTCAGAAAAATTAAACAGCTAGAGTATTTTTACAGTCTTTGTTCTACAGTTGAAGCAAATGTTTATCAAATAATGTCTAATGTTACAAGTAATTGGGGTTCCCTTTAAAACAAGAATGTTTAAACTGGGGAAAATCACAAAGCAAATAAAAAAACTGATCATTAAATAGGTGTAAAAGAATGATWATACATGGTTTTGTTCAGAGTATAAAACCATGTGTTCACACATACGTGTCATGTCAGTAACGGACACCGACGGTCCCTCCACTTCTTGCATCTGTGCGTAAACGCTGATCTGGTATTGGCTGCTAGGTGTGAGGTCATAGAAACACTGGCGGGAAGCTGCACCGCCCAGGTTCACTTCCTGCCTCTGACCATCTGGAAGGAAACAAAGAAAAGAAAAAGTCCAAGAATCTACTCACAATTTATCAAATTCAGATGAGGAATTACAAATCTTGACAAGTCCAAACTCCTCTCGGGGAAGAGGTTTTGAGCCAATGCCACTCAGATCACATTTTATTTTTTTTGCAGTCACGCTCTGCGTTATTTTCAAGATTGGAAAGTTCAAACTTTTTCTGCAAACAGATCAAACAAAGAAGTTACTCACTACAAAAAATGTGCAGAAAATCAAAGTAGCAGTGAAAATCTCAACTTTGCAGCTTCAAATTCATACAGTTATCAAACAAATATTAATGATTCCTTTTAGGTAACAGATGGGAGCATTAATTTTGTGTTTCATTTCTTTTTCTTTTTTTAATAAAGTTTAAAAACAAGATTCATGGTTTTACTTAAAAGTAGTTTAGCATGTCGGCAGTTTTTTTAAATCACAAAATGCATTAAAGACCAAAACAGTGTGACAATGTGCAGCCTGTTCAGCCAGAACCTTATCACTACACCAAAAAGCAAGATAAATATTTACAAAAAGGGACATTCATTTTCAGACTCATCTCTGGAAAATGCCTCGTTAAAACAAAAATAGCAAACAATTTAAGTGGGTGTTTGTTTTAGGAACAAACTGAAAGCCCCTGTGTACAGAAAACTGATTAATGACAGCCACTCGTCAGTTTAATTAGACTAATTTTAGTGTTTCGGGATAAATGAGCTCCCTGACCAGAAAGAAAACAGTTTATTAATCGATTAACAAGCTTTAGAAAAACAACCGTCAGTTAAACTTGTCCATTTTAAAGTGGTTTTAGCAGCTGATTGGCCAGAATAAAGTAAACTCTGGAGTGAACATCCAGTCTTTGCTCAGGCAGGAAGGACATGAAAGCAAAAATTACGATATACTGTTAAAAAAAAGGTTATTAAAAAGTGACGTAAACAGAAACAAAGATTGACAGAGTGGCAACACTCGAGTTTGTGGTAAAACAGTATTCAAGTTTGCACATGATAGAAGGAAACGTCCTCAGGTCCCAACATAATCAAAGATAACAAGAATAACTGTCAAACACAGACAACAAACATACTTATAACATGAGCCAAAAAAAAGAGAGATAAGATCAGTACTGGTTCATCGGCAACAAGATGGCAGCATAACTTGAAGTGTTTTCAAGTCATCCATTAATAATTTCCGTATTTTTTTCATATTGCAGGGTTAGAAAAATCGTAGTGTCAAGTTTTATACTAAAATTTGGTGTAAGAGTCCAAAACATCTGTCATTTCTCATCAAAGGATGTAAAAGTAAGTAAAGTAAAGTAAAGTAAAGTAAGTAAAACTCTGGCATGCAAGGAAGTGGGTATTTTGCATTACATTAAAGAATGCCAAATCTTTAATTTAAACTTGTAAAAGGCATTAAAATGTACATTTATTGCTTTTTCAAGAGGTTCCTAAACTTTTCCATGCCATGCCCCCCCCCCCCCCCCAACAGCCTTGACTTCTGGCCGGGGACCCTCCTTCCAAACCCACTAATAATACTACACAATATTTAAAGAAATACCAACTTTAGAATCTTTTTTATCTCACATTTATTCACTATTCAATAATTAATTCATTTGTTTATAAAAATAAATTTGTTAACATGTTTTAAACTGCATTATATTCCCACTAAAAAACTAACTTTGACTATAACAGAAAAAAAATAAAAATAAAAAATAAAACCTCTCTTAAAGTGAATATATGTAAAAATCCAATTTTTAAACTGTTAAATGCAATTTGTTGTGTACTCTGGGTCGTTAGGAGTGCAGAGAAGTTTAATTTAGTGGTGCTGCGTAGATATCTTTATATTCTATTGGAGTCATATTTTTCAACCTGTTCAGTTTTCTTTATTTTCTATGATGTTTTCTGAACTATTACATCAAATTATTTGTGACGGTGCTGCCAAATAAGTTAGGGACATAACTAACTAACTAATATGTGTATATACGGACAATATTTATGAATGTAAGCATGTATGTATGTATATCTTTATATTTGTGTGGGTATGTGTGTATTTTTATATACAGTATGCCCTCTATGTATTTATCCATTTATTAGTCAGGTGAGCGGACAGATGTTGGGTGTGTGGWCCTGTGTTTTGTTGGTGTATATTTAACATAATCCTAATCGCTATTTCAGTCTTTCTATCTTTCTAATTACTTCTCTCTCTGTTTTTCTCTCTCTCTATTTTCTCTTCACAAAAAAAAAATAAAATAAAATAAATAAATGAAATAAAAAACATAATGGTGTGGAGRGGATGGCTATAAGGGGAGAAGGGAGGCCATCCAAAAAAAGGGACATTACTAACTAATTTTGTCTTCTTCATTCTTCTCTCTTATTTAAATGGAAAAATGAAGAATTTAAAAGAATATGTCCACTTTAAGTTCTCAAAAWTTTTTTAATATATAACTATATATAAATATATTTTAAAATAATGATTAAAAATGCATTTTATTGTAATGATTAATTATTATTATTTCTTTTGCATTTTTTCCTTATCTTCCCTCCAGCATTCTGAGGACCTCCTAACACCCCTTGGTGGCCCTCACTTTGAAAAACACTGACTTAGTCAAAGTTACCTCCAAAGAATAGTAATACTTTATATTTCATGTTAACTCCACTGTTTTTCCCCACAAGGATTTTCATGTTGTTTACTTCGGTGTTTCAACAGTTGCAATAAGTGTTGGTATCACTGAAGTACTACAGTGGCACTCAAACCTTTTAAACCACTTAAAAAACCATTAAGTACTTAAAGTACCATCCTGAAGTATAACCAGAAAAAAGGTAAAGTCTGTTAAAGTATTCACATACAGTCAACAACTGGACCCACTGCATACAAATATTTTAACATTAAACATTTTAAGTCACATAGTATCAGCAATTTCCTGCTGACCCCGCTTTTTAAAATGAAGTTCAAATACCAGCGTGAAATTATCTGCTGTAGAGAAGACAAAGGCCCAGTACTCACACTTCCACCCTTGTGTACTTCAAACGCACATTTCCACTGATGGGTTCAAGTGTGTAGTGTGTCCCAATTTGTCGGAGTGTTCCTTCACTTCACCCCCTTTGCGCTTTTGATCCACACTAATCCCACATCCAAGCAGACTTCGTCAAAGTATATTACCCACAATACATCGCTGTGTGTGACGTTTTGAATTAAAAGGTAGAAATATGACAACGTCCACTGAGCACCTTCCAGTGGTGGTGGTGATGCACTTAAATTAGCCTGTCTACCGCCAATAAAATCAAAGAAGAAGAACTTGTAGAAGAAGTAGTTCTGGTGTTTAAGCGTCCTTCAGTTTATGTACTTTCTTCCCTTAAAAACAATTGCTTGTTGTAGTTATACTGTCATTTTTAGCAGCACAAATGCCAAAACATCGACCCGTCCTGCCATTTTGGATGTCGCAGCTACGACGCAGAGGCGTAAAGAAGCGTAAAGAAAAAGATTTGCTAAATCGCCAACATGATAGGGTAATGTTTTAAATGGTCACAAAGTAGGCAACAGTAAATATACTTACTGAGTGTGGACTGTATGGAGACTCTGTACATGGTAGCGTGTAGAAGAGGCTGCCATTGAACACACATGCTGTTCGGACGCACTTGGTAGGTGGACAAGCCGGAGACACCGAGGAACACTGCAGAGAAATTGAACAACATCTACATTTTCTTACTTTTGAAAAGAAAAAAGGTCTTAATAAGGCTAATAACACACAATTTATAGTAATAGTTAAATGATAAACTTGTTCCTAATTAACTAATTGGAGACATCCTGAAATGCACTTGGTTTTTTGGCTGAATGTATCGGAGCCTCTGACCACGTGTSCCACAGAATCTAATATAAATGTGATAAACTGTAATTTGAATATGGAAGATCTTTGTTCCACTCTAACAAACGTGGGCAACTCCTACAAGCACTATTGTTTTTGTCTCTTCCACTTTCTCACACTTTAAAAACGACTCCATCTTCAGTCACCAGCAACAACCATCCTCTTTTATTTTAATAAAATACCCAGTGTGATTTTGTGAATTTACTTTTCCGGAAAAGCTGAAATCCATTTTAAAATTGTGACCTTTTATCATTAATCGTATGGGTAGCTCGACTCTCCCTTAGTGACAGGGTGAGAAGTTCAATTACCCAGGAGAGACTCAGAGAAGAGCTGCTGCTCCTCCACATCGAGACGAGCCAGTTGAGGTGGTTCATCTGGTAAGGATGCCTCCTGGACGCCTCCCTGGGGAGGGGCTTCAGGCATGTCTGACTGGGAGGAGACCCCAAGGAAGACCCAGGACACGCTGAAGAGACTATGTCTCTTGTTTTATTGTTTTACCCATGAACACCTCGGAATCTGCCCAAAACAGCTGGAAGAGGTGACTCGGGAAAGAAAGGTCTGGGCCTCCCTGCTGTAGCTGCTGCACCCAGACTCGGCTCGGAATAAGCAGAAGTTGATGGATGGATCGTTAATGAATGGTAATCATGCTATTGTCTGTTTGTTTTTCTGATAATGAAACTCTCAGAAAGTAATCACTGAATGCACATCTACTGATTAATGTCAGCTCAGTTCAAGATGCCACAGCTAATCAACATTAGCCAACACAAAAACAGCTTTAACTCAGTCAACTTTACAATGACTGAGCTCATATTTGGTGTGGCGGTAGCAAAGAGTCATCCCCAACACATACTCAGAGTGCTTACAGACAGCATGAGAGAAACAATACAGGATGCAACATGTAGTGCCCCTTTTCTTTTGAAGATTTAACTATTGACGTGCTCATCTATTATCAAGTTAGAATATTTTTTCATTAGAAAATTAGTAATAAACTATTAAAGTGGCAATATTATGTGTTTCTCAGACATATATTTAAACACTATACCATAATAAAGTATCTATGTCACATTTAGC